GATCAAATATAGAAAAAATATCTGCTTGATTCATTTTTTCTACATATGGAGGAGTATAAACTAAAGTAGTTAAACAGATATAAAAAGGTCAGCCTGAACCAGAAATTTTGTAATCTTTCACAAGGCACATCTGGTAGTTCAGCAGACTGCCTACCCAACAATTCTCTGACATGCGCACACCGTGAAGGAAGGAACAAAGAAAAATTGATCATCAATTGCTCCTTCGCTCTAAATACAAGAGAAAAAGTGTATCCTAAATTCTGAATTAGCAGAGGGAACTAAACACTGTTTATTACCAAAGACCATCTAATTTCCATCCTGTCATTTAACAGTAACAAATAACATCAGTCATACAAGTCAGTTATATGAAGAACATCAGTGGTGCTGAGTACTGTCATCTTCAAAATTTTAGAAGAAATTGGCTTAACATAGAACTCTAAGAAAGGCAGGCCGAATCCACATATTTCAATATTCATCACCAGACAATGCCTAAACATAAAAAATATTTAGTCATAAAGCAAATACCTGCATGCATTTAAAATGGCTGAGAATGTGACGACATTTGGTTTGATTTCCAGCTCATGCATCTTTTGGAAGACTCCCAAAATGCATAAGATTTCCTTTCTGCCTTTGTTATCCTTCCTAGCTTGACCTCCTTTCTCAGCAGCTAGCTGCCGAAAAATCTTTATAATTTGGTTGTGCTCTCTATCCTCAACCTTACTTTTATCATTGTTTTCGGCAACCACCAAAGAAGAGTGTACTAACCCATTAGGTTCGCCACTGCCATCAATCACACACTCTTGAGATGCTGACCGACCAAAGGCATCAATTATAGAATTGTATGTAACTACATTAGGCCTAATTCCCTCCCTTGTCATCTCATCAAGCAGAGATACTGCAGATTCCACCAACCCATTCTTGCACAAGGCATCAATTATGGCACTATAAAGCACAACATCGGCTTTTAGACCTGCCTGCTTGAACTCTCTAAAAATCTCAATTGCCTCCTTATATAGACCTCCTTTAAAGTAAACATCAATCAATGTTGAATAAGTCAACAAATTGGGCAAAATATTTTCAGCTTTCATCTCTGCAAATACTCTTCTAACTTCATTATATTTCCCTTGCTTCCCATATCCGCCCAAAAGTGCATTATACGTTACAACATCTTTCCTAATACCCGAACTCTCCATCTCCTTACAAACATCCAAGGCCTCCTCAAACTTACCAAGCTTCGCATAAACTGAAAGCAAGGTATTATATGATACTCTATCCAAACCAATGCCCAAAAACTTCATTTGATTGAACAAACTAAGAGCGTCCTCTAATCTGCCAGCCTTAGCATACCCATCAACCATGGTACTGTAAGTGACAACATTAGGTAAGATATTCTTGGCGGGCATCTCCCCCATAATCTCAAAAGCCAAATCCATCTGCCCTCCTTTACAAACCGCATCCAAAAGTGTATTGTAAGTGAAAATATCCTGATCAATCCCTCTGTTAATCATCTCATTAAACAAATTTCTAGCTGCTTCCCATAACCCTCCTCTGCTACACACAGCAAGTAAGGAATTGAAGGTAATCCTGTCAGGTTGGACCTTATTTCTCAACATATCATCGAAAGTCTCTACAACATGTTTAAACTCCACACCCCCTTTACCACACGCATCAATCACGGCATTGTAAGTGACCAGATTTGGCTTCAGCCCATAATCCTTCATTGATTGAAAGACCAAGATAGCCTCATCACAATACCCACTTCTTCCATACGCGCTAATTACAGCAGAGAATGCATAAACGGTATTCCCATAGCCCTCATTCAAAGCCGTCTCGAAAATACTCTTGGCAAGTTGAACTTTACCCAATCTACCAAGTATACTAATCATGGCGCTAGCTAGTTTCCCTTGCTCGTTCTTTTTCTTCTCTCTTTTAACAGCAAACTCGAAACAACGTACAGCTTTAGCAGACTCACCTCTATTTCCCAGCTCGCGAAGAAGGAAAGTATAGTCGTCAGAGCCAGAAAGTCTGGACTCGAAATTAAGCAGCACATTCTCAATTCCAGAATCATCTCCAGCGAAGTGGATCACCTGTTGAAGAGCTTCCACAGCGACGGAGGAGTGGCGGGTGGTCAAGGTGGTCTTCGGGCGCCCGAAATGCATTTTGGAATAGAACCGGGTTGAGCGGCGACCCGAGAAATCTTGGGCGAGGTCGGATCGCGGGGAGGGAAGAGGGGAAAGGGAAGGAAAGTTGGTGGGTCTCTGAGGAAGAGGACACGTAGCGACGGTGACAGCGGCAGCGGCAGCGGCGGAGGGGACGGCAGCAGGTTCGAGTCGATTGCGGGGTAAGGGAGGAGGCGTAGGAAGCGTGAATTTCTGGGGAGTCCAAGGGCTGTATTGGGGTTGATTGTTGCGATGGTGAGGCTGGCGGGTCTGGTTACGGTGGGTCTTGATCGGATTTTGCGGATACTGGTGGTTCTGATAAGGCTTAGTCGTCGTGATCGAGCAGTGCGGCGGCGTTGACGCCATTTTTCTTTTTGTTCAAGAAAACGAAAAAGAAAATATGAGAGAGAGGATCAGAAATGGAGGCTAAAGAGGTTTAGGTAGGGTTTGGGAGAGGAGGGAGAAGACGATGAAAATCATCTGGGAGGATTTGAGATAAGAGAGAGAGAGAGAGAGTGTGTTGTTTGTAGTTTACCAGCTGAGTTGGAGTTTTCCTAGACAGTGGCATTTAGTTCAGACATTGATAATTTCGCTCAGTTAATTTATTATATGTTTATTTAGAGAAAAGGAAGTCGCTCAGTCATAACGAATCTGAGCCGTCCATTGATTATGTGGGGCCGATTAATGACGCGGCTGGATCTGATGTGAGTTTGAGATGGAGTGGATTTTGATGCCAACTAAGCAGCACCCACCGACGATGTTGATGAAATCAACGGTCAGGAATTAGTTCCGCGCACACAGTGAATTATTCCTTGACCTAATGATGCCGTCGGTGACCAACTCGGTGGGTCCCAATTTTTATTACCTGTACGTCACTACTTTTCAAACGGAAAGTTGGGGAAGTTAATTTACAGATGTATCCTTGTATTTTCTACAAAATTACCAGAAAGACAATTCAGTTCGTGCATATCAGCTGGTATTTTTGGAAAATGCGTTGCATGCTTTTCGAGATCTTTTTTAAAATTTTGAATTAATTAAAATATATTATATAATAAGTTATTTATTAAATTATTATGAAATTTTGAATTACGGGGTCAATGGGCATATACCCATTTGATTCGGCATTGAAAGAAATTCATTACCTTAGATAACTTTATGTTTTATAATATAAAAAATTGCTAAATTAATTGAAGCACACCACACTTGTTCAAAGTTATATATCTTTTAAAAATCACAATTATAACATAATCCAAACATTTCATGAAAAAATATAAAACCATGTTTGTTGGTTAGTAAATAACAGCAGACGTTGTGGTTCGTGCTCAATGCCACTCCTTTTCAGGCATTAGAAAAAAAAAAAGGGAAGTCTAGTTGGGTGTGTGGCTGAGGATTAAACCCTCGTTTAATATGGGCCTAAGGTAGAAGAGAGCAATTAATGTTTCTTCGACTGTCCATCCCCCCCCTTCATATTATCTGTATATATATATATATATTCTCCTATAAGTAGATATTTACAGAGAGCAATTAATGTATTCGATTGAAACGCAACGTTTTGAAGATTTGAGAAGAAAGGATAGCTCAAACCTCAGGCTCTTCAGGGGGAAAGAGAAACATATATTTGATTTTTAAATCAGTGAAATTGTTTACAATAAAGTTTAAAAGTAATATAAAATTTATTTGTGTTAGGAGTGACAAAGAGAAACGACTTTCCAGGGTAAGACAGTGTTTTCAAAATTTAAAATGTACTTTTCTCATTTCAAAGAAATTTTTGTATCCAGTTACTTTTTATTAATCTTTAGTTAAATTTAAATATAAATTTACAAATTAATTTCACTACATAGTGTATATTTCCAAATCATTCGAAAACATAACTTAATAATCTACTTAGTTGGAAGAAATAAATTTTGTTTATGAAATTCATTTAGAAATGAACATCCACTGCAAGTATTAGAGAAAAAAATACCTTGCAAAAATAACAAATAACCTTTTAAACCTTTGATTTTTTTTTTAAAAAAAAATTCTTAAACCATTTCAAGTAGAATTGAGACAACTGATTTCAAATTTCACAGACTAAGTTTCTGTATTATCGCAAACAAATAATATTTGGGCAAGTCTTTTTTTAAACAAATTTTGCACGAGATTTATATCGTCTTTCGATTAAATAAGTATAATTATCTAAATAAACTCCAAATATATCTTCAACTATTACAAATATGATGGTAAGATATGCAACAAATAATATTTTATTATACATATTAAAAAATTATAAATAAGAACTAAAAATTGATTGAGAAACCATCAGTAAAACCCTGAGAGTTTAGTCATATGGTTGTTGGGATGCACCCTTAGCCACACAAAAAAGTACTAATGTTCAGGGTCAAGCCAGACTCAAGACACTCAGAAATAAATGCATGGATGTCTAGGGCGATTAACAACCACTTTTAGATCTAGATATCCAGAGAATAAATTTTATGCGGTAGTTCATCAAATCAATTATAATTTGATTGAAATTTAGTCTAAGATCTAGCGTTCAAACTAAATTATGGTACCTCCATTTTCCCACAAGTCATACTATTGACAATCTGACCCTCAAGCACAGAACTTCATACAAGACACCAGTACTTCATTCCTAGACTAGTCTTAAAAATAAGATCCTAAGCTCTTTTCTCATTTTGAACATGGTCCTTGGGCCACCTTACATGCACGTAGGTGAAAACAACCATGTGCCAGTTGTAAAAGATGCAAAAAGAATACAACAGCAAAACTACAAGCGTATGTTCGTCGAGCCTACATGAATTTACCAGGCCAGGAGGCAGAACAGGTGTAAATTGAAGAAGAATGAATAGTTGCTTTTATCAAATGATTTGCTTGTAAAGGCTGTTGTAGGCCTTCAAAATTCTATAATATTTCTTGTCAAGAATGCTAACCTTCTCGAGCAAGTTACTGTGTGTTGCTAAAATGAGAAATGTCAAGTGGATCCAACTTAGATACGGTCATCCCTATAATGGCTGCGAAACAGGATCTTCAGTATGTCTTCTTCCTCATAAGTGGCTTTCGTGTTTCCCTTCTTGATGCGGCTAGAAACCCAGGTGTTGGTGTTCCAACTGTGGCTTGATAGAGATCCTTTAATCTTTGAGTAAGCATACAGTTAATGTGTTAGAAAATTACTATTCAATTTCGGCAAGTATTGGAAATCCTTGTGGAGGAGAGCACAGTAAAGTACCTTGGTATGCTGATAAATAGAGCAATTACTGAAACTCCAATCACAAGAGGGAATACTGGTGCTGGAGTTAATTCCTGTGTAAGAGGAAAAGAGATAAGAATTAAAAAAAAAAAAAAAAAAAAGAAGAGGATGAGGGAAAAAAGTAAAATTAAAATCACACTTCATTTCAGTATTAGAATATCCTATATATGTAGATTGAGATAACAATTTGTTTGAATCAATTCCACTCCCGAATCCTTTGGAGATGAATCTTTAATTCTTATATCCAAGAATTCAAGGTAGGAGTGGAATTGGGTTATACATGAAAACTCGTATGTCATTCTACAGATCAAAACCACCTGGCGATAAAATAAGGAATAAGGTAAGAATTCAATAGGTATTGAAACAAATGGACAACTAGTTCAATGAATGATTGACCTAAGTGACAAACATACAATGTCAGAACATTCATCAACGGTGGTTAAGTTTCTGCATCATTGATATTGTTTAATCTACTGAGCTCCAAAGTTTCATTCAAGAAGAATCTATAGATTTCACAACAGAAAGAAAAAAAAAACCTGTTTGTGGCGATCTTCTTCAACACTGTATCTGAGCGGGCCAACATGGATCTGAGCATTCTTCTCTAGATCAACTTCAATAATTTCCGACTCAAATTTGTAGTTGCGCAAAGGGAAACTAGATCTGAGCTGCATAAGGTGCTTACCTCTGGGTAAGCCCTTCACCTGGAAGAAGTTAGAAAGTGGGAGAGGAAAGACATTCTCAATTTTATAAGTGTCACTAGCTGACTTAATTTCCACCACCAGCTGTGAATTTAGTTCCTCAATTCTCCTTCCTTCAACATGACAACTTAAAATGGTCATCTCTGGCTGTTCAAAGACCAAAAAGTCTAATCCTTTGAGGTCTTCGAAGCCAACCTTAAGAGTAACGTATTCGGGAGATGCTCGCTCGATTTTAGTGCTACTAACACCATCCCTTTTCACCACTTTGATGACATAGGTAGTATCTGGAACTAGTCCTCTCAACCGATAATTTCCAGATGAATCTGTAACTGTCTCCTCATAGTAGCCTTTAGATTCAGACCGAGCTTCAACCGAAACACCTTCTTTTGGCTGCCCAGATAATAGAGTTACGGTACCCATTGCACTGCAAAGAAGTTTAAATGTCTTAAGAAATAAATTATCTATATATGAAATTACATAGAGGTATTCATATTCACTTTCAGATTGAAGTCAAAATTCACACGATTTAGAGTAAGCTCTAATTAGTGATGCAGAATAAGATCTTAAATTGAAATAAATTTTTTATTAAAGGAATTTTGAGTTATTTAGTTCTATTTACATATTATAATATTTTAGTTTTCTTTTTAGATAGATTTTAAACGTCATAAGAACTAAATATTTTAAATTTCCTCTTTTATAATTTTCTTTATTAGTTGTAATTAACATCTAAGAAAGGCTTAGTAGCTACCAACGAAAAGAATAGATGAAGATTATTAAGAATTTTTTGCTAGTATTTTATTCTATATTATCTCTTTCTGTGCTCATTCTTTTGATTATTGTTTTGTTTAACCTATCTTCTCCAGTCTATTTCTTCATATATTTCACTCTATATTAACCTCTTTGTTCTTTTATTTCTCATCTAAATTTTCTTTCTTTTAAACTATACCTGCACCAAGTTAATTTAACTGCTACCCATCCTGCATTAATTAAAATATCAATGGAGCACAACAAAAGAATTCCCAGTCCCATATGATAAAATACAATTTAGATGTGTCCTCCAGAAGTGCTCCAACCTAAGTTATCTAAATTATTATTTGAAAGAAAGGAATATTTATGAGGAAGGAACCTGAAACAAAATCTTTACAAGGAAAGATTCCTTGTGAAAATACTCTTATTTCACCACCC